TTATGGGGGCTTCATAGATGGGATTCACCTGGGGGGGACAGCAGGGGCTGAGGTGATTGGTGACAGTGCTAAGTGCTACCTGCCCACATCGCCCACCTACACATCACATTAAAGGAATAGCAACACCCTCCAATTTATCAGGAGTGCATTAAATTACACTGTATGCAGTGTCAGTGTTAGGAATCCATGCAGTGTCTGCATCGGATGACAGGGAAATGACCACTGCCTTTTATCTTAATACTTCAGTGTAGGCAGGGTGAGCTAAAGGGGAGGTTACAGAGATTGCCAGCTCGGGGAGTTATTTATTTTTAATTTGTGATTATTTGTCATTGTTGACACACCACAGCACATAGTGCACAACAACGAAATGTGTCCTCTGCATTTAACCCATATGTGACTTTCGTGACATAGCAGGGGGCAGCTAATTCAGCACCCGGGGGGCAGTGCTTGGGGGTGGTACCTTGCTCAGGGTACCCCAGTGGTGCCTTGCTGGTCGGGAATTTGAACCTGCAATCTTCCGATTACGAGTGCGCTTCCCTAACCATTAAGACACCACTGCCAGCGACCAGTTACCAGCGAGTACCAAGAGGTTACTTAGTACCGTATCTCGGGTTTTGACCAATCTGTTCTTACCATGCAACATGAACATAGAATAATCTGCAGAACACCTAAAACTAGCTGAATTTATTTCCATTGATGAATTTAAGGGCATCATAAAGACATGCCGTTGTCTTCAGAGGTCAGTGTGTTTAAATAATACGTGGATTTTTTTATATCATATTGTACGTTGTATTTTTGGACGCATCGTAAGTTTAATACGGCTGCTACCTTGGTCAGGTCGTGCTTGTAAAAGATTTGTAATCTCAATGGGACTTCCTGTTAAAATAAAGGTTAAAGAAGGAAGGGAAGACAGCACTGATCAGCCCTGAGGATGAGAGCGATGGGGCTCCACGCCATTCACCCCATCCAGGCCACATGCTATTTATTTATTTCTCGCATGGAGACGTTTCAAACGGCAAGTGAAATGAAAACGCTCTAAATGATTGCTATTGATTTTTTTTTTTTCATTCCTCACAATGGACACTTGAATAAACCTTAAGTCCAAAGGCTTTGGATTGAAGAGATTAATCCTAGGATTTTGGGTAGAAACTACTGGAAGAAAACGTCATGTGACTGAGTTTTTCTTTCTCATGTTCGTTAGAGAGCCGGCCTGGTGAGCGTCGCCGGGAATGCGTAAGACGCGCTGCGGAACGCACACCATCCGGAAGATGCACTGCGGAACGCGCACCATCCGTAACATGCGCTGCGGAACGCGCCCCATCCGTGAGACGCGCTGCGGAATGCACCCCATCCGTGCGACGCGCTGCGGAACGCGCCCCATCCGTGAGACGCGCTGCGGAACGCGCCCCATCCGTGAGACGCGCTGCGGAACGCGCACCATCCGTAAGACGCACTGCATTCCTTAGCAGCTACGCCCTCAGTTACAAAGCGCCTCAGCAAACTCTGCCGTTCCTGAGTCTGCCGTTCATCCTTTTGGTGAGCTTCAGTTTGTAGATTATCAGCCATTAGTGATGCAAGACACCATCCTGCAGCCCTTTAAGCAAACGTGCAACCCAGGAGTAAATTAACACATTCCTCAGGGGACCAGCCTTTAATGAGGCGGCTGGGGAAAGTATCCAAAAGCGGAAGCATCTAAAACCATTGATTACGTGGAGGATTAGACAGACAGTAAAAATCAGAATGGTTACTCCAGTTCATTCCCTCCTCTCACTCACTCTACAAACTCGGCTACCCTGAAAACTAGGAAAAGGTGATCCATCCATCCATCTATTTTCCTTAAGTAACTACTTATTTTATTCAGGGTGGGGAGGAACAGGAGCCTATGGTCACAAGGCAAGGAACAACCCAGGATGAGGCACCAACCCATCACAGGGCACACTCACACGTGCAGGCAATCTGGTAACACCAGTTAATCTCAGCATATTTTTGGACTGGGGGGGGGGGCAGAGTACCCAGAGGAAACCCTACGACAACACGGGGGGGACCTGCAAACTGACACAGAGCCATGGCAGAGACGTGGAAGGCAGCAGTGCTAGCCACTGCGCCACAGTGAGTGCTAACCACTGCATCACGGTGCTAACCACTGCATCACGGTGCTAACCACTGCGCCTCCGCACCCAGGAGAACATACCACTGAAAGCAAATTACCATGGAGAACATGCAGATCCCCAGGTAAACCTGACTGCCTCATTAGAAGTGCAGAACGGAATCTTTGATGCCACAATTAATCAACTTAATGATTCCAGTTAACAGGTGTATTTTGCAAAGTAAAATAAAATCCTTCTCCTGTTTTCCTGACATTACATTTTTTAAGCGTATGGTTCACACCACAGGCCCATATATTACATATATAAAATCAGAAATGTTCAAACAAAAACCAAAAGATTTATTTTCCTTGACCTATGAAGACAGACCACACTTCCATGGAGATTCTCGAGCACTGCTTCATGCACTCAGAAAGTGGGGCTATAATCTCTAAGATGCAGCTACATAATCCTTTAACTTCCTTCTAAACCTGCAGTCCAAAGAAAGAGCTGCTCCTGGCCGAAGTGACTGAATGTCTTTCGGCACGGTGACACAGGTCTTCCCCAGCTAGTGTATTACCACCAAGGCTAATATCCCACATTCCGGAATATTCCCAGAAAATACTGGCTGAGTGAGCTGAATAAACAGTCATACATCAGACGATCTCCGTAGCATAAAAATATGGAGGGAGGAAAGGCATCCGGCTTCCAGGAGATTTTATCGCACCATGTCACCAGGCAAAGGACAGTGGCCGAAAACGCACGTCACTCTGCCCGACACGTGCGAAGGCTCCGGATGGCGGCTGGCTCCATAGGGCGGCTGTCTGTGCCTGCGACCGGAAGGTTGTCGGTTTGAATCCCATGGCTAGAAGCGTTATCACATCACCGATGGGCCTTCAGGCAAGGCCCTGAACCCCGACTGCTCCAGGGACACAGAATACACGGCTGACTCTGCCTGCGCCCCCACGCTTCACCCTCAGCTGCGCAGTAACGTCGCAGCCGCCCTGACACAGCTGCCTGCTGATGGGGTCCAGTCCGGCCCCTTGTGGCCCCACCCTCTTCCGCAGTGGGAGGGGCCACCCGTGCTGCGCCTCACTGTAAATGGCTTATATGAATAAGCATTTTAATGCTGCCTTAAATGAGCATGCATTTGCTAATGGGTTGCCATTAAGTGTGCTTCCTGAGGGCCTTCACGTCTAATTGCCTTATCCTGCTGCCTTTCCGTGCTCATTATTTTCCCAAATAACGTAATTCCTGCACACAGCCAAAGAGAGAGCGGAGGTAATGGGTCCTTTTTCTCATTATCGGCATGGGTGACGTGGACTCTGTCAAACGCAGCTCCTAGCGCTCAGACACGGTGCCTTTCAGCGGCTGCTGTCCGCTGTTTGCAGCTTTTTATTTACTTTCGTTTGCCCTTTGCACAGGTACATGGCTGTGCTCTGGCTCTGAGATCCCACCTTGCTCTCCTATACAGAGACACACACACACACACACACAGACACACAGAGACACAGACAGACACACAGACACACACACAGACACACAGAGACACACACACACACAAACACACACAGACACACACAGACAGACACAGACACACAGAGACACGCACAGACACAGACACACAGAGACACGCACAGACACACACAGACAGACCACAGACACACAGAGACACAGACAGACACACAGAGACAGACACACACAGACACACACAGACCACATACACAGACACACAGACCACAGACACACACACACAGACCACAGACACACAGAGACACAGACAGACACACAGAGACAGACACACACAGACACACACAGACCACAGACACACAGACACACACACAGACACACACACACACACAGACACACACACAGACCACAGACACACACAGACAAACGCACGCACGCACACACACACACACACACACGCAAATCCCAGCCAGGGGATTCTGGCCGCTGGATAAGGACAATTTTGGTTACAACTGGTTACATCTAGAATATGATGATATTCTAATATGACAATATGATTAAATGGTGTTATTACAGTATTTCGTCCTTGCCTAGAATACTAAATGGTGCCTAAAACAGGGTGGAAAAACTATAATGAGTAATAATAGCTCTAAAAGGTAGAAAGCAAACTCTTTTATAAGTCTAAATTATAGGGAGAGTTATGCTAAAAGGGATAAAGGATAACAACATGCAGCTACTGAAATAAATCACAAACACATGCAATAGAGATTAACAGAGGCATTTTCTACCGGGTGTCTGAGGTGTTTTAAAAAGCAGAATATCCAGGCTACAAGGAGAAATTGATGATCAGGCAGAAAGCTTGTTATTTTATTGCCAGTTTGCATTGAGGATAGCTGCGGATGCAGTACTAATGGCTGGGAAGGTTTGGCAAAGAAAAACCTGAGATTGATGGTGGCGACAGACAGATCAGGCCGCTACACGAATGTCCTCTGACCAGAGATCTTTGACAGCACAGAGTATGAAAGCAGAATTTATTAATTAGTCTCCCTAAACTGACTCACCCTAATAATCAGTAGCAGATATGCTAAGGTAAAAACAACACTCTGCAAAAGGCCCCAAGTCACACCACGCGCCCGTCACTCTCTTAAGCCTTCAAGTCTCACTCTTAGGCTGACAGAATGTGAGGGTTCGGATCCCTGTGATCCAGAGGTCACTGGTTCAAATCCCACCGTCGGGCCCCTGAGTGAGGCCCTTAACTCCTGACTGCTTCGGGGACTGGCTGAGCCTGCCTTCTCAAAAGATGTACATCGCTTGGGATAAAAGCTAGGGCAAAATAATTCAAACTATAAGAAGACTATAATTATCAAAAGGTAATGCGGTAAATCTGTAGGGATGCGTCGAGAGGGTTGGGTGCTGCAGAAAGTAAGCGACAGCGACCTTCCGTACCTGAGGAGATCTCGATGCGCGTGTTCTTCTTCTGCGTGACGTTGATGTGGACGGCGACCTTGCCCTCGGTCAGGCCCACCTCCACGGTGCCGTCGGCCATGGCGCTGTACAGCAGGAGCCCGCTGGGGTTCCAGGTGCGGAAGTGGAAGCTGACGGAGGCGGTGTCGCGGCCGAAGCGGCCGGGGAGACGCAGGAAGCTGGTGGCGTTGAAGAAGACGGGGAAGGTGTGGGACTCGGCGCAGGAGAAGGTGAGGTTCCGCTGCACGTGGGACACAGAGAACGCGGTGTTCAGGTACAGCGCAGTGAAGCACATGTATTCCGATATCCTCTAGTGTACCGCGCACCAATTACCGTCATACAAGACTCTCGCAGGCCGGTAAAAGAGGTGGGGCACAGGGTGGGGGTCCATTTGTTTCAGAAGTGAACAGAACGTGTGAGCGTGACGGGTGGTAGTCATACTGAAAATATATCGTTTATTTTTAGATATTAGCAAACCCCCCCCCGCAAAAACCCCCAGCACTCCAAATCCCGCTGGATTACTGGCCGCTGTCCAGGAGCCCGTAACAGACATAACGAGAAACAATGAAATAATGAGAAATAACGAGAAATAACGAGAACGGGCCGTACAACAGTTAGGCCGGTGCTGCTTTCCGAATTCTTGAAAATATTCCGATATTCATCTTTATAGAATATGAGTAAGTAATATTGACATCTTATATAAAGACATTAGCATACAGCGGTAACATCGCAAATGGCTACACAAGTAGACTTTGTTTTATCAGGGCTAAAATAAAATCCTTCAGGTTGTTTCAGTTCGATTTGTAAAAGCACAGGTAGCTTAAAAGCAGCTCTGCTTTGCCTTTGTTCATTCTGTTTGGCTGCATACATTTGAAAAGTTTCTTCACATTTAAAGTCTCTCATTCATTGTAGCACCGTTTCCAGCAATGTAATAGCCTTTTCTTTATTGGTAGCTGGGAAATACATCTTCCACCTACCACATGAATTGGCCCAAAACCGAAGTCGAAATGTCAGCTGCCTGCCGTACCCAAAAGCGAGAGGAATGCAGGAACGCTGATAAAGTGAGGCACTACATGCTAATGGTAAAGCGAGGCACTACATGCTAATGACAAAGCGAGGCACTATATGCTAATGATAAAGCGAAGCAAGACATGCAAATGATAAAGCGAGGCACTACATGCTAATGATAAAGCGAAGCAAGACATGCTAATGATAAAGCGAGGCACTACATGCTAATGATAAAGCGAAGCAAGACATGCAAATGATAAAGCGAGGCACTACATGCTAATGATAAAGCGAAGCAAGACATGCTAATGATAAAGTGAGGCACTACATGCTAATGACAAAGCGAGGCACTACATGCTAATGACAAAGCGAGGTACTACATGCTAATGCAGGGTCGCCAGCTCTCACGCATCTGGCGTGACACACGCTATCAGACTCTCACGCTCACGCATGAAATCCCATGGTAACTCTGTGTTATTCCATTATAAACTTAAAATTTGCCACATCAAAAGTGTTGGGGCGGGTTACAAACCAGGCTATTGACAAAGTCATAAAAGTGTTACATACATGTAAATGCGTGTGCATGTGTGTAGACTAGCTTCGAATTGAAAACCTCACTCCAGCCAGCTGACCAGAGCTGGTCACCCTGCTAAAAGACCAGAGCTGGTCACCCTGCTAAAAGACCAGAGCTGGTCACCCTGCTAAAAGACCAGAGCTGGTCACCCTGCTAAAAGACCAGAGCTGGTAACCCTGCTAAAAGATGGCGCATCGCCATGAGCGTTTGACTTATTTAGCAGAGATGCCCGCCTTTCTCACACCATCGTCACTGTTCTACTGCGGGGGGGGGGGGGGCGGTCAGAACACACAGAAATGCAGATTTTCACTATTTTTAGCCCAGAACTCCATTCCGATTCAGTGCAGCTCACAAAATTCCTGTTCCCCCTGTTAGCAGGTATGGCTTCTCTACTGTAGTAACTCCGAGCCCAGCATGTTTGTCAAGGACCATTGAACAAGCATTATGTGGACTGCGGCAGGCCAGCTGGGAAACAACGCAAACACAGCATCCGGATTTATAAAGCAGCATTCGATTTACAGCGTGTTCAAAATCCCGCCCTCCACCCTCCCACTTAGGCCGGCGGCTGTGCGGAGGGGGCCCGTGCTCCCCTTTCACAGCTGGGGTGCGGGGTGTCTTCATGCTTTTAGACCAGTGTTTCCCAATCCGGTCCTTGGGGACCAACAGTGTTTGCTCCCCCCCAGCTCCTAGTAGAGTGGACTGTCTGGCAGGGAGCAAAAACATGGACCGACTCCCAAGGACCGGATTGGGAATCACTATTTTAGAGCAGGGGTCTCCAACTCCGGTCCTGGAGAGCTACTATCCAGTAGGTTTTCTATCCTACCTGACTTCTAATGAGCCACACCTGGCCTGGTATTTACCTGAGAACAGGTGTGGCTCATCAGAAGCCAGGTAGGATAGAAAACCTGCTGGATAGTAGCTCTCCAGGACCGGAGTTGGAGACCCCTGTTTTAGACTGTGCTCACGTCTGGCTCAGCATCTACCACTGGCTGCTTAAAACACGTCACCTGAGCTTCTCCGGCATCCCAGGAGAAGCCTTTCCATGCATGAGAATGATCACATCCACAGCGAATGCTGAACTTGCATGAATAACTAACCGACAGGATGTAAGGTTCTGATGTGTGAACTTCAATGGGATGGAAGCCCTGGCAGTTACTGTGTTTTATAATACTGTTAAATAATGATTTTTTATAACCCCCACAAACAGCAAAACAATAACACCAGCAAGTCGTTTAACACAGCACACAGCCATAGATTAGTGCTTACTGAGCGTGCCTCGTGACGAGAGTGATTCTCCCTACCCAAGAATACACATTTGGGATTTTAGAATTCCCAATAAATCCTGTCTAAACCTGAGACTCAAAGTGTGATTACTTACCCTCAAAATAATTGCTGCACTAAACCAATTAAGAGTAGAGACAGAGTGAAGCCCTGTTATGAGGCTCAAGGAATCCTATCAAAGGTCCAGCTGACCGCGGCCTCAGTGAGCCAATCACCGGCCAGTGAATATACTCCTCCATTTAACCGACGTTAAATGAGCAGACAAGTTCTGTTAAGTCACGTTTTAATGGATGCGAAATATGAGTGCGTCAATTAAGCTGAAAATAATTACCAAGTCTTAACGCTTGTCATATTCCCCATTCTTGATAAAGGCATTTTAATGAAAAACCATAAATCATTTACACTTTGCTTGGTCAAGGAACACAAAATTCAAATTCTATCAATTTTCCCCTTCACCTGCGAGCTATTGAACACAGATGGCTATTAGTGAAGGCTGGCATCTTGATGTAATCTAGGTCCCTCTTTGATCTCTTTTCCCCTCCCAGCTATGAAAACAGCACAAATACATAAGAAGCAATCATGAATTCGTTGAAGTGGCACTCCAACCAATTTATACCCATAGGCAACCATTTCATTCAAAAAATAAAGAAATTATTAAAAGATTTATTCATTTATGAAAAAAAAAACCATTCCGTCTATGATTACTCTCCGGGTTTAAAGGGGAACTCCACAGAAATTCAATAATTCCATGTTATTCATCGTGTTTACTCTAGGAGGGATTCAGATCAAGCGGCACTTTGGAAGCGACCAAATGAGCGCGTTTCATGTTTCTCTTCCCGCTGCATGAATCACAGCCGCTTGCTGTCAGCTGCCTGCAATTTCTAAGAAGTGTCTTACAATCATCTAGCCTATAAGTCTGCATGGCAGTGAGGAACCGGACTGCAGATGGGGATCTGCAAACGGGTAGAGTGGCCCTTTGTCTCAATGCCGATGGTGCTTTATCATCAGCTGAACAAAATGGACGCTGCATGGCGGTCAGGGACACATGCGTGTCGAAACTCAAAGGGGGCCCTCTGAGGGCAAACAGCAAGGGGGGGGAGTGCTTTCATTTCAGAGGTCAGATGCACATTCCGAAATCCTGCGGCGTCACACACAAATAGGGGTGCTGAGGGTGCTTCAGCACCCCCTCTGGCGGTGGGTGGTAATGCAACGTCAGAATTGGGCATTGTGACCACGGAGATAGAAAAACACCCTCAGTGTTATGTTAATTAATTCCGCAATGGCTCTGAGGCAAATTATGATTATGTCTCCAAAACAACTACCCTTGTTAGCTGCCGGTAACTACTGATGATGTAGAAGAACTTAACGGAGTCTGTTGGCTTCCTGGCTGTCAGCACCCTGAGCGCAAAAATGCCGTCCCGCACCTGTTTTCGAAAACGAGGAACATGCATCTTACAAAACTGGACGTGTCCAGCTTCTTCCTCCTGGCGAGGTCCGTGATGTTGTCGCCGTTGTAGTTGATGCTCTCCATACAGCCGATGAAGTTCTTCCTGCTCCCTGAGCTGGGCTTTCCGGAGAACGGCATTCCACCAAAGGTAAGCTGCAGAAACAGGGGCAGCGAGCCAGAATGACAGAGCACCTCTCCCGCCCGCCCGTGTTACCATGGCACCAGACAAATGTCCATGGTCACACAGTAAAACCTGTACCATGCCACAAATAGTGTTTGTATATACACACAATAACACTCATAATTAAATATACACAGGGACACACAAGCAGATATATCTGTATAGATACACAGTCACAAAATAACTTTGGGCATCTATAACATCTTTAAACCTCTAAAGACAGAGCAATCGATCGGGTTGTCTATTTCATCTCAGTCCATTCCTCTACCTCATTTGAAAAATAATTTTCTTCAAGGAAAATGGGAGAAAGGGAAAACATTGCATCATTCAGCAATACTTGTCGTTCTTAAGATTGCTTTGAGATGCGGCGCTCAGAATGCGTTTTATAAAAGGTTTTTTCGGTGCCAGATGAAGCCAGTGTCAGCCAAGCAGAAACTCATCTCTTAGTGTCGCGCTTGTGTGTGAATGAAAGCCAATGAAAGGCGTGCATTGCTGAGCCGCTCGGATCACGGCGGACAATGCGGGGGTGACAATAATCACAGGCATTTCATCGGGGCGAGAGAGTCACCGGGGGAGTGAACGAGCTCAGCGTGTGACCCGGCGCAGATTCACAGCGAGTCCCCGCTGAAGGCCGAGCAGACAGCAAGCTCAGGATGCCGTGCTTAATAAACATCACCCTGGAACAGTCTGAATTAATCTGACACATCAGTGCTACAGGTACGCGCTACCGGCAATCCGCGAAACACCTCCGTCACACGCAGCGCCTGACACGTACACCATGCAGACGCCCGCTTTACAGCACAGGAAAGACTGATCGGCGCGGGCTGGCAACAGACACCATCCTAACAGACACAAATTACACCTGTCAGTGTAAATTACATATTATGTAATTTACAAAAGTGGGCGGGACTGGAAGTTTATATAACTTACAGTTAAATGATTTGTGTTCCGCCGCTAGAAAAAGAAAGTTACTTCCACGAATCTTCAAGTAATTAAAGGATAATTCCTGAAAGTTTATTGTAAAATGTATTAGAAAGTTTTTAATATGCATACATGCTGAGTCTCATGGTTTTCCCAGAAGATCCACATTATGGTAAGCTCCAGCGAGTCTGATGGCACGGAAATTACTTTCTCGTGCTTTCGTCAGTCTGATAACGATCAAGGAATTTCTGCTACACTGTACTTGCTCTCCTACACCTTGTCAAACATCAGGTAGCTTTCTGTGCCACCAAGAGACCTCACACATATCTTTGCAATTTGAATATCAGGTAAGAAAAAAGAATAAAACAGAGCAATTACAGAAACCACGTGTGCATAAAAGTGTGTGGCTCCATTTTCAGATTCCCCGTTAAGTAGTTACAGAGAGCCAGAGAGAGCACTAATTAGCACACTTCCCATCTCAGAGGGGCTGTGATGGGGAGACTTTAAAGGGGAGATATGGGACCATTTATGCTGTCGAAGTGACCTTACAGAGATTATTAAAAAAAAAAAAAAGGCACACGATGCAGTACATTTACATTTTAGTGTTTCTTTTAGGAATCCAAACCTTTACAGAATTATTTTTGTTGGATGATAAAGCAATTAAATGCACACAGACTTCAGCATTTTAGACTGCGTTAGGTCTGCATCTGCGATAGTTCCTGTAGGTGCCAGGAATTTAAATTAAGTTTATATTTGATATTTCATATACGTTCATGATTCACATAATTCATCATTTAGAATTTATGATGTACATGGTTAGAACTTGGATTTAGTGCCATTGCACTTCAATGATTAAAACAGGTACTGCCACTTTAAGCACGTAGGGGCAATGGCTGCGCATTGTGCTTGATAGTGCTTTAGGATGGATACGAGCTGAGAAGCCTGGAGTCGCACGGTTTTCTGGTTTTTTGGATCCTGGAACACGCGTCAGCCACAAGACTCCTCTTCTTTTTGAAATTAGTTTCGGAAATACCCTACAGTTCCTTTTATTACTGCTATTGTTATGCAGTTTATTTTGAGAAGTACGGGAATGTTCTGAGCACTTCTGCTGGAATGCTTTCGTTTCCGGCGCCGACACGGATGCCTTCCGGCAGCAGGTGCCCCGAGCGGCGGCCTTTACCTCGTAGTCCAGGTCGAGGTGGTCGAACTCGCCGTTGGTGCGGAAGTGCTGCGTGTGCCGGTCCAGCGTGAAGTTGACGTTACGCCGGTAGCGCTCGATGACCGCCGTGTGCCAGTGGTTGTCGTCCAGGAGGCTGCCGCTCGTCACCGACGTGTGACCGAGGATGGAGCCGTACTGGTTGCTGCCTGCGGGGAGCCACACCCAACGTTTCCTTAACGTCTGCGAAACATTTACACCTTTTTAGCTTAGCAGATGCTCCTTTTCCTGCTCAAAGGCCCTTTGGTAATATCACTCTGCTGACACTGGGATCTGACCTGGCAACCACTCCCTCACAGGCACTCAAAGGCTCATTGGTAATATCACTCTGCTGACACTGGGATCTGACCTGGCAACCACTCCCTCACAGGCACTCAAAGGCTCATTGGTAATATCACTCTGCTGACACTGGGATCTGACCTGGCAACCACTCCCTCACAGGCACT